TCACTGACATGGATATGCAGCTGAACGTTACCAGATCCACCAAGCTACGCGTAGCCATGTTCAACGACAGGAACGGCCTTGCCCAGGAGATTGCAGCTCGTATCGTAAGCCTACAAGAAGCTACGGCACCCATGAGGCGAACGTTATTCAAACGACCACACATCACGCCAAGCGCAAAGACGCACTACCTCGAGGCCTTTGGTTTCTCCAAATTATTTTACACTGCAGGCACGTGGTTCACCAGCAAGGTGGGCGACAAGTCTCGCCACAACACCACGCATGTCAGAGCCGCGCGACAGGCAGTCGGCATAACGCGCAACGAGATGAAGACAAAGGCTATCACAAACCTCGAGATTTTGGCGAGGCTCGAGACCCCAACCTTGGGGATACGGCTGAACACATATCGACTCAGACAGCTAGGGAGACTGGTGCATCAATGTCCACGAGAGCCCCAAGCACTAGTCGACTACAACATCATCCAAGGAGGAAGCCAGGCTGCCACAATCAACGACGACATCAGCACTATCCACCTGTACATCAACGACAAGAGACCAGCCAAGGATATCTACAACGTAACAACATGGATCAGAGCGGCTAAAGCGGAACTATCGACTACCAAACACGCTGCACGATCATTCAGCCACCGTGCAACTAACTACCTGGATCAAGGACGACGCTGCGTACCACAAATGGCAGGCTGCAGTCGAGCATGTCAAGACCCAACTTGAAATACGTACTGCTGAAGCTACAACAACGACGACATCACCGACGACAGGAGGGCGTCCGGCGTACATGTGCTTCCATTGCCGATCTACCGCTGCCAACAAGGCAGCCTACGCCAAGCATGTGAACAAGCACCACCAACCGCAGCACGACATGGCACATATAGTGATGGGTACTACATGCCAAATATGCCGAAAGGACTTCACTACCCCCAACCGCTTGCTCAAACACGTCAAGGCATTCCAAACATGTGCGTCCTCATGGTTCCACGCTGGGCAGCGGCCTACTGACGAGGAGCGCGACGTCAACAAGCACGAAGTACAACGACTTCGACGCAGCAACAAACACCTGGGACTGCCTGGGGACTACGCCAGCGTGCCAGTCACCCAGATGATGGGGCCCCCCATCAGCCCCTGCGTCGCTGACGAGAAGTACCTCTGCACGATCACCCCACCACTACAACCTGCGGCGAGCAGCGACCCAGGAGTGCACGAGGACCTGCAAGACACCGCAGCAGCTTCGGAGACTACAGCCGCCAGCAGCATTATCGTCATTATCGCTTACGAGCAGCATGCTATCCGTGAGATGATCGAGGCTATCATGGAGACTACCTACAGAAAAGGGCACAGGCATTATGGTTCACACACGCTGCTGCGGCGATAAGGGCCGCCAGGAATATGACTAGATAATCAGCTCGATCCATAACAAACAAATCTCGACGGTGATCATCGACCTCGACATCAATAACGACGACATCCAAGCGGGTCAGCGATGACAACAAGCGCCATGGGGAGCTCGGAATACTAGACCAGAAGCCAAAACAACCGTAATGGCGATCAACGAGTTCTTCAGGCTTGCAAATTACCCTGAGTACTTGTGCATGGCCCACGGCATCCAGTGCTACACACGCGAGAACGGCAACGAGCTAAAGATGATGGAGCACATGAATATTCGCGCAGACTACAGGACAAGGCTTACGCCGAGTACAAATGGATTCCAGCTGGAACGACCGAACAGCTGGCCACGGCAATGGATAAAGTCATATCGAGAACAATCTCCGACGGCAGCATGAGCTTGGACGTGGCACAATCATGGCACTACGACGACAGTGGAACAACAGTATCGATTGGACCTTGGGACGAATGCGACGACGTACAAGACACGGACCAACCCAACAGCGTCTGTGATAGAACGACCCCCGACGCAATCGCTACATCGCCTGAGGCGTGTGAAGCCGCGGGCATACGTCGCCAAGTTTTGCCGCCTGTGGAAGGTAGCGTCTGTGAGGGAACGAGCCCCGACGCACCTGACACAACGCCTGAGGCATGGGAAGCCTCAAGCATACGTCGCCAAACTTTGCCGACTGTGGAGGGTAGCGTCCGTGAGGGAGAAGTCCCCGACGACCCATCCACCCCGCTCGAGGTATGCACTGCTCAGGAGCAGGGACTCCCAGAGGGTACCAGCCTCGAGCGGGCGTCGCCACGCTTTGACTCGGGAGATAGACAACACAGAACGCAGCAAGGCGGAAAACATGGCTACTTCAAGTACGACGGCGTCTGCGAGCACAACTGCAACCAGCGGGACAAGGGCCTCAGGGATGGCAGCGACAGCCAATATGACAAGGATCTCCCCGACGACAACAACGACATGGAGGCGGGGAGCCACAACATGGAGGAGGAGGAGGAGGAGGAGGAGGAGGAGGAGGAGGAGGAGGAGGAGGAGGAGGAGGAGGAGGAGGAGGAGGAGGAGGAGGAGGAGGACCGCGAAGGCTCGTCACCACAGCGCCTGGCGCCGAAGGGTGGTGGCAGCCTCCCCGACCCCCGCAGCGCCGCCGGCGCCGAAGGGCGGGGTACGGGGCGGGTCCAAGAAGAAAAGCAGCAACCACCCGAAGAGAAGCCGCAGGCCACCCTGGCCTGGGCCCAAGCCCATACGAGGGGCTCATGATCCAGCCTTTCGGCCAGCACCTGAAGGCGCCCGACAGCGACACCTGCCACATGAACAGCAAGGTCGAGGACTCCCCCTCTGCGGTGAGCGTGCTGACCCCTTAGACACACCTAGGGGGTGCAGGCGGCCGCGAGGGGGGCGAGGTCGACTCCTACGTCTTACACCTGGGCCCGCGGGGGCCGTGCGCCGACGGCCGCCCAGAGGCCTCCCGAGACCCCTCCCTCTTTCCTCTGGTGCCCATGATGGGCCCCCGCCCTCTCCCCCCTTTCGAGGCCCTCTGAGGTCGTTTGCTTCGTGGTTTCTCTCTTGGTCCTCGGCGGGGATTCTTGGGCCCAAAGGCTGGTTCCTGATTCTGTTGCGCGCGCTCGGCCCGCGACCGCGGGCGGGCGCGCGCGCTCGGCTACGGCGGACAAGACCGCTGCGTGGCCGACAGTGCGTGAGGAGGAGGAGGAGGAGGAGGAGGAGGAGGAGGAGGAGGAGGAGGAGGAGGAGGAGGAGGAGGAGCAGAGAGCAGAGAGGAGAGAGGAGAGAGGTAAGGCAAAGCATACCTGGAGGGCGGGCAGAAAGAAAAAGAGACACGGGGGCGCGGGCCTCCAGCGGCCGGCGCCGCCTGGGCCGGTGAGGGGGGCATCGGCGTCCTTGCTCTTCTTGGCTGGCACGCCTCTCGGGGGCAGGGCGGGGGCGAGGGGGGCGGGAGGAGAGCGGCAGGAGGCCCTTGACATGATGTCGCTGCGCCGGTCGTCTTGAGCGCGCCCGCGTAGACGAAGGCAACACCACGGCGAACCCCACGGCGAAGCCTGCGCCGGAGGCGGTGTTTGCCGTGGTGGCCGAGGCGTCCTCCCCCAAGACGCAAGGCCGCGCGTCAGAACGAACGGCGCGGCGACAGACTGACCCTGGCCTTCTCGCTTTGCGAGTAAAACACGACGGAGCGTGTTTGGCCGTCTTCGGCCTCTTGGGGGCCCTCATCGGGCCCCAGGATCCTGGCGTTGGAGTGTCCAAGAAGGCCTCAGCCAGAAGACCCAAATCACTGATTGTCCTGAAAAGTTTAGGTCCAATTTTCGCCTCCTGGTGTGAGGGCACTGGTAAGGGACCTCCCAGCTTTGATCGATAGCCTCCCAGATGGCCCCAAGACGTCCGAAAAACCCTCAAGAGAACCCCAAAAGGCCCCCCAAAAAGCCCCACAGAAACACCCAAGACGCAAGACGCTCCAAGAGGACCCCAAGACGTGTCCAGATGCCTCTAATATACCCTCAAGAGATCCAAGGAAGCATCCAAGAGGCCTCTGGCCCACAGGGGCCCCCGACATCTCCAGATGATGCCACGTTCCCCCGTTCAGGGCAGCTCTACTGGGCATCGTGTCTGCATGGGCTGGTGGGTATACGCGAAGCGTTAACACGAATATAGAAGCGAGAACATGATACTGTGCCTTATGGGAGAGCATGTTTTGAAATGCCATCATCGGCAAACTGCTCCCCAAGCGCGCCGCAACCTGCCGGTCCAGGCCTAAAGTGCCTGGAATTGTCCCTAGCGGGGCTACGGCGAGTAGCCAATTGCGACACTTGCAAATTCTGACCCGGCGCAGGGAAATCAGGCCACCCACGTCCAGGACATGGAGCGGCAATACGGCTGCGCTCTGGGTGAACGTCGCTGAGTGCTCTACGGCGCCGCGGCCATCGCCCAGCACTGTTCCACTGGCCACTTGAACATCTGCGGAGGCTGCGTCGCCAAGAGCACCGCAGGCGACCCAGGCGACACCTGGGCGAGGCGCGGAGACGGCCGCGGCGACAGCGAGCGGCGCAGGCCCGTCGCCGCGGGCGGGGTGGCGCTGCCGCGCAGAGGGCAGCCAACCCAGGCGCTGGCCGACCGCGCCCCCGCTGGCCACGCCCCTGGTGGCCAGTTCAGCGCGCGCGGCGCCGCGCTCACGCTCGCTGGGGGCCGCGCGGGAGGGCTCGGCGTTCGGGCCAGGCTGGCCATGGACGACCGGCACGACGTCGGCACGGGCGTCGTGGCCACCGCCGGGGCGCACTGCCGCTGCGGCCAGCTCGCGAGCAGCGAGGCGGCGGGCGGCGAGGCCCCGCCAGGCTCCTGCGCGGCGGAGGCGCCGGGCGGCGGCGCGCGCGGCTGGGCCCACGGGTGGGGCTGCGCGCGCGACAGGCGCCATGCGAAGGCCGCACCGACGCCCTCGCGCGCAGCTGGCGCGCCGCCGGGCATGGCGGCGCCCGCTGGGGGCGCCATGGGGCGCGCCGCCGCTGGGGCGTCGGAGGGCTCGGCGGGGCTTGGGGAGCCGCGCCCGGGCTCCGCGGCCGGCGCGCGCCCCTGCGCGCCCGGCCGGGGGCAGCACGGCGGCGCGGCCTCCGCCTGTCCGCGGCTGGGCGCTGGCGCGGGCTCTTCCGCCCACCGCAGCACCTTCGGCGGGCCCGCACCCCGGCACTGCCACTGCAGGCTCGGCACCGGCGACGGCTCCGAGTCTGGCTGCGCCGGCGGGTCGCCGCGGCCCTGCTCCAGCGACGGGCTGTCGGCGTGGAGCTGCCACCTCGGCTCGGGCCTGTGCCGCTCCTCCGCCGGCTTCTTCTGGCGGGCGGCGTGCCCCTCCGGGCCGGCGGCGGGCGTGGCCCGCGCGGGGCCCTGGCTGCGGCCGCCAGCGCCGTGGGCTCGCAGCGGCTGGGAGGCTTCCGCAGCGGGCGCCGCAATTGCGGCGCCTTCGGCGGCCACCGCGGCCTCGAGGGCCCAGCGGGCGGCGTCGGGCTCCTCGCGCGCGGGTCCTCGTCGTCGGGGATGGCGCTCCGCCCGCGCCGCGGCGCGGGGGTGCCCCGCGTCCGACCGCGGCGAGTCGATGGGGGAGTCGAGGGGCGTGGACGGGACGCGTATCGTGACATGGTTCGAGTCCGCCGCCGTGCCTTGTGCACGTGCACGTGGGGGCGCGTTGGCCTGTCCCCTGCAGGCCACCAGAGGCCTTCCAAGCGGACCCGAAGAGGCCCCCGAGAGGTCCTCAATAACGGGCCACTGGCTGCCTTCCGCACGGACCTGAACACGCTCCCCGGAGGCCCTCAAGGCCCCAGATAAGCTCCACTGCGCGTCTCTGGCCAAACCTCCTGCACGCTGCGCTGCTGCCCTGGCGCGGTGTCGGTGCTCGCCGCAGGCAGCTGGCTACTCTGAGCGCAAAGGGTCTCCACCTCGGAGCAGGGCAAATTGAGACACTGGGAACTCAAACCGGCTCACAGTCGGTCCCTGGACCCCTCCTGGGGGCCCAACGCACCAATTGTCCGTGCTGCGTCCAACCGTGGCGTCGAAGGGCCTCCCCGAAGGCCAACCACGGGTGTCTCAAACGGCCCTCCTCTGGCCACCGCCGCGGACGTTCGCCCTCGCGCGGACGCTGAACTCGTAGACGCGGCCTGGCGTGCAGCCGTCCAGCAAGCAGACCTGCTCGCGCACCGCCCCGCCTGGCGGCGGCGGCCGGCAGGGGCACTCGTGGGTGCGGACCCGCAATCGGCCTTGGGCGCCCTCCGACATCTGCCTCACCTTCATGGGCCTCCCAGGTGGGCGGCGAAAAGCGGCGGGTCTTACGCGGTATGACATAGCGACCTTGCGCGGTGGCTTGCGCGGGCCGCCAGCGCGGCGCGCCACAACGGAAGCGAGGGCGCTTACGCACGACCTTGCGCGGGCAGCTCACGCGCCAATGTCGGCGCAGACGAACCCGTTCTTTTGCGTCGCTCAGATGAGGTCCGAGCAGATGGGGTCGGAAGCTCGCGCCGCATCGCCGATGCATCGGCGACGCCGGCATGGAGAGCATCGGGCTCCACATTGGACCGCATCGCCGAAGCGGCTGCGATGCGGCGCCGTCCTCTGATCCCGTCTCCTCCGCCCCACATCTGGGGGGCCCAGCACATCGAACTTGTCAGTCCGCGGGCACCAAATGGTCCAAGACAGTCAGACGCCGGTCAGCAAGCGGTGGGGTGCACCGGGAGCGAATTGAGGCACGAAGGCGACAAGGACCAGAGCGCGATGGGGGGAAGAGGGAGGAGCCCGCCCAGACCAGGAGAGCCGGGGCGGGGGATGCCGACGCCATGGCTGGAGGGCCCAGCACCTCGAACACGAGGCCGCACACCTCGGCGCAGCCCGCCGCCAGCTGCTCCAGCAGCAGCTCGTCGAAGAACCACGTCAGTCGCACGCCGCCCGGCGGCAGCGCCCTCGCCAGCAGCTCCTCCGGCGCGCTGAGCCCCGCCGCGGCCGCGGCAGACCGCCGGGGGTGCGGGAGGCGCCCGCCTCCCATGGCCTTGGTGTCTGACTGATCGCTCGGCCGATCACGCCTCCGGCTCACGTGATCCAATCGCAGCCTCGATCACGATGAACATCGTGCCGATCACGGGCCCATCACGCCCTCGAGCTATTGGGCGATGGCGTGTGGTCGATCCGAACCGGTCCTGCGATCGGCGATCACGTGGCCGACCTGGACCCCCAAATGTTGCCCTCTCTTGGGGACGCCGGCCTTCTGCCGGCTTCCGCCAGCATGGCCGCCCCCGTTTGATTTCCGCTGCCTTCCGCCGAGGAAGAGATGGCAACTCCTTCGATCCTCGAAGGTGAGGCCCTTTCTGGAACGCCTCACGTGATCCCCCGATCACTGCGAACGTTGATCGCAGCCCTGATCACGATGGCTCTCGCGCCGATCACGGACCCAACACGCACTCGAACCATCGAACGATCGCGTGTGATCGAGCCGAACCGATAAGGGGCGATCGGCGACCACGTGATCCCCCGACTGGGAGCACCGAAAGGTACCGATACCGCTACTCCCCGGACCTTTCCCAGGGTGCTTCCTGACCAGGACTTCGAGGCGAATCCAGCGGTGGCGACGAGGGCCTCCCAGGAGGTCCCAAAAGGCGAAATCAAGGCATTGGTACCCGCCAATTCGAAGGAGTAGGTGGAAACATGAAGTAGGAAGGCGGATAAAAAGTATATTGAATTCGGGGCCGCCCAAAGAATAACACAACACAGAAAACACATACCGGTTACTGAAATTGGATGGCGCTTGAAGTAGGTTGGGATGTGGATCTCCCCAAATCCGCAGACCCAGTCGGTGTGTGTGTGTGTGTGTGTGTGAAAGGCTCTTCAGCCCAACCCAAACTGAAGTACGCCAGCCTCCTTTGAGTCGTCGTCGTCGTCGTCGTCGTCGTCGTCGTCGTCATCGTCGTAAGGGAGATCGAACAAACAAGAGGGATTGATCAATATCGTAATCACGTCGGAGGGAAGCACCTTCCATTTTGTCCCTTCCCGCCGCGGGGGGGTGGGGTCCTCGGGGCCTGGGGGGTGGTCCCGGGGGTTTCCCAGGGGGTGGTCCCAGGGGTTTGTCCCAGGGGGGGGGTCCCGGGGGTTGTGACCCGTCCCCCGCTGGGGGCTCTCCCCCTCGGTCTTCGCCTCCCAGACGCCCGCCCCCGAGAAGACAGACGGCTCTCCTCCTCCTCCTCCTCCTCCTCCTCCTCCTCCTCCTCTTTCTCCTCCTCTTTCTCCTCCTCTTTCTCCTCTTTCTCATCTTTCTCCTCCTTCTCCTCCTCTTTGTCCTGCTCCTCCTCCTCCTCCTCCCTCCCTCCACTGCCCGCCCCGTCCCGAACCTGTGGCAGAGTCGCTAGCTCGTCGTTGTCGTTGTTGTCGTGGTGGTCGTCGTCATCCTCCTGGGTCGGCGGCGCCGGTCGTAAGGCCTTCACAATAATACATACTTTCAACGACTGGCGTGCAGGGGTGATCAGCAGATCGCGTGATCAGCAGACGCCGACGCAGAGAAGAAGGAGGAGGAAGAGGAGTAGGAGGAGGAGGAAGAGGAGGAGGAGGAAGAGGAGGAATAACACTGCCACAAGAAGACGTCAGAGAAGGCCGATGAACAAAACAACGGAGTGCGGCTATCGGAGAGGAACTTTTTGTCACCGCTGTGGGGGGCGACATCCCACAGTGGGTCAGCGACAAGCCACACCCCGAGAGAAAAAGCAAACAAACGCAACGAACATGACCAAGAGACGGGAAAACGTCATCGAGAAACGGTTGTATTTGAACCGCGGTTTATTCCTGACCCGCAGCTGGAGACACAAACTAATGTATTATTTGATGCTTGATTAGCGCCTGGCTCGGAGCTAGCTCAATATTGGAACGATAAACTGGCTGAAGAGTGTGTGGCGGTATCCGGGTTGCATGCGCGCGCTAACTGGCTAATGTATCAAGGATGCCAGAGGAGGAGGAGGAGGAGGAGGAGGAGGAGGAGGAGGAGGAGGAGGAGGAGGAGGAGGAGGAGAGAAAGTCCGCGGCCCTTCCGAGAGGGCAACTCCCACGAACACCCAAGACCAATCGAGCACTGTGGGCGGACAAATCGTGCCCCCGCAAGTTAAAGTCACCCACTCACTGCCCTGACCCGCGGGTCCCTAGGTGCAAGTGCAACTGTTGGTGGCGAGCCCGCGCAAGGAGGAGGAGACAGAGGAGGAGGAGGCAGAGGAGGAGGAGGAGGAGGAGGAGGAGGGGGAGGAGGGGGGGAGGAGGAGGAGGAGGAGGGGGAGGAGGAGGAGGAGGAGGAGGAGGAGGAGGAGGAGATGGTTAGATGGATGGATGGATGGATGGAGCAACATCAAAGGAAACCCTGGCTGCCGTCCGCAAGCGGACGACGTCCAGGGCCCCAGATGTTCTTGTCCGCGGAGCCACCGCGGCGGTGGTTGGCCCGCGGCCCCCGTCCGCAGGGGGACGAGACGGGCGGCCGTGGCCATGGCGCAGGCGGGCCACGCGGCGCGGGGCACCCGCCGAGCCTGCCCGACTCAACGCGCACACCCGAAGCACTCCTCGCGCAACGTGTGCTGGCAGGCAGCGCACCAGTAGGTGGGGGAGCGGCGGGGGGACACGCAGTGGCACCACTCGCACTCGAAGGCGAAAGGTAGCCGTCGGCGCAAGGCGAACTTGTGGCCGCCAAGGCACGCGAGCTCGACGCCCTCCGAGTTTACGTCGCCAGCGTCCACCGGCTCTTCGAAAACGTGTGCCATAGCGTCGCCGAGCTGCGGCGTGAAGTCGCTGCGCACGCCCCCGCTCGCGTCGAAGTTCTTGCCCACGCCAACTGAGGAACCCCCACGGGCGAGGCAAGCAGTGGGAACCTCCATGCCGACGCAAGCTGTGGGAACCTCTTCGCACACGGGGCCGCGGCTCGCCACGCCGCAATGGGACTCGACCACGTCCCCGCTCACATCGATGTCGCCGCACACGGGGCCGTCGCCTTCCACGTCCAAATTCACGTCGATGTCGCAGCCCACGGGGCCATCGCTCTGCTCTTGCACGGATTCCGCTCGGTCTGGAGCACCGCTAGCCGCCTGCCCGCCATCAGCCCGAAGCCGAAGCCGATGGCCTCCGACTCGAAGTCGCGGAGCCGCCAGTCGTCAGGGGTATCCCATCGCGAGCCCGCCTCCGCATCCGTGCAGTCGTAGTCGTAGTCGTAGTCGTAGTCGTAGTCGTAGTCGTAGTCGTACGCCTCTTGCTCCTCCTCCTCCTCCTCCTCCTTCAGCGCCGCGGGGAGGGTGAGGGGAGGCGCGTCCACACGCACCTCGGTGTCGGCGCCCGAAGCGTCCGGAAGCCGAGCCTCCAGCTCCGCCACGTGCAGCATGCGCCCGATGTCTTCGCCAAGGCGCGGCCCGGCCGCCGCCCACGCCAGGTCGGCGGCCGAGGCAGCGGCAAAGCCCCCCGCGGGGATGCGCGCCGCGTGGAGCGCGGCGTTACGGCGCCGCCTCCGGGAGCGAGGGACGCGGCGGCCGCTCGCCGCAAGCATCATTCCCGGCCGTGCAGCCGCCTCGCGGTCCTGCCACGAGCTGGGGCCGCCCCGCCTTGGAACGGTGGCCTCCGATGCCGCCAGCCGTCGCCTGCGCGCGGCCCTTCGGGCAGCAGAGGCGCCCAGCGAGGCAGTCTCGAGCGCTCGCAGCGCCTCTGGGCCTCCCCACAAGAGTCGGCCCCCCGCAGCCACCATAGCCTTCACTGCCAGGCAGTCCCCCTCCATGGCCACAGGACGCGGCGAAGGGGAGAAGGACTGAGCCGCTCTCGAGCGCAGAAGCAGCAGGGAGAGACACGGACGCGCAGCCCGCCTGGCGCCCAAGGCAGGCATGAGCCAAAATGGCTTGAGCCAGATGGCCACGGAGGAGGAGGAGGAGGCGGAGGAGGAGTAGGAGGTGGCGGAGGAGGAGGAGGAGGAGGAGGAGGAGGAGGAGGAGGAGGAGGAGGAGGAGGAGGAGGAGGAGGAGGAGGAGGAGGAGGATCATCAGATCGACTGGGATCTGTGACCGCCGATCGCGTGAGCAGCAGGCGCCGAGCCCGTGGCGCTGCCCGGCGCCATCGGCGGCGGCGTGGAGGTCGCCGCGCGGGCGCGCCCTTCACCGCAGTGGGTGCGCGGCGGCTCCCATGCTGCAGGCCGACCTCCCCCCTGGGCGCCCAGGGCCTGGGCGGCCCTAGCGGTCTGCGGCACGCTGCGGGAGCAGCTTGGGAAAAAGACATGCGGGAGAGCATGCGCCAATGAGCCCAGTGGCACACAAATCCGCCGACCCCTCGGTTGGTGAGACGCTGCCGTCGTCTTCGTCGCCGACGTCGTCGCCAGTCCCAGGAAAAGGAACGAGCAGAGAAGAGAAGCCTCGCAGTTCAGTCGAGCCCTTCCCCTTTTCCCCTCCTGACGTGGGGGGTTTGGGGAGGGGGTGGAAGGGGGCACGGGGGGGCGGCAGGAAAGGGGTACGGTGAGGGGGAGGTATACCGGGAGGGGCCCTCCGGTCAGAGTGTCGCCCCCCGCCTTGGTCCCTGGCGGGTCCCAGGGGGGGGTCCCCCCTGGGGACAAGGGGACCACCTCCTCTGGGGGGTCGCCAGCGGGGGTCCCGGGGGAAGCCCCGCCAGTGGTGGGGGGGGAGGTCCAGGGTCAGGCTGTCGCCCCCCCGCCCGCCCAAGGCCCCGGCGCGTCCTCGCGGGGGGCGCCAGCTGGGTCCCGGGGGAGGTCCTGCTTTCCGGGTCGGCGGCAGTTGCCGTAAGGCTTTGGCAATACAGGGGCACAACTTTCAGGATGCCCACAAATGTTTCAATCTCATCCGGACTTTCGTCTTCCCCTCCACTCCCCATGCTTTCCTATTGTTTCCCCTCGGGATCGACGTCTCGTCTCTGTGTTTATATACCCTCGTGAATGCCAGAGAGCATGCGGTCAGGGCGCTGGATAAGGAACTACTGTATCAGGAATCCAGGGTCTGGAAAGCCGTCGGAAGACCAATTGAGGCTTGGCCATGGATATCACCGCCGCCCTCTTCAAATAAGGAATCCCCCAAGGTCTGAAGCCTCCCGAAACACATTCCTTAACCAATGCCCCCACCGTACGCAAACCCTCTCGCGTCGGGAACAGAACCGTGACGGACGGTTTGGTGGTTGCGTATTTTCGGTATCTTTTTTGTCACCTCGCTGAGGAAGATCGTGTAGTTGCGCGCCTCGCATTGCTGGCGGCGCCTGGCCAATCTCAAGCGCCTGTCGCACACTTTCGGCTGGGCAACCTACAGGTGGTCCGATGGCGGACTAGGTCCAGGCACGTGGGAAAGATTACCATTCTCCCCAATCAGAGCTTGCCTCTGTAGGGGCCCTAGCGGGCCGCCGATTTCCGCGGCCCGCCCGGGTGCCCGGGTGCCCAGGAACCCTATAGCCCTATAGCCCCATAGCCTTACAGCCCTATAGCCCTATAGCCCTGTAGTCCTATAGCCCTGTAACCCTATAGCCCTGTAGCCTTACAGCCTTATAGCCCTATAGCCCTGTAGCCCTGCAGCCCTATAGCCCCTAGCCCTGTAACCTTACAGCCTTATAACCCCATAGCCCTGTATCCCTGCAGCCCTATAGCCCCATAGCCTCATAGCCATGTAGCCCTGTAGCTCTATAGCCCTATAGCCCCCATAGCCTTATAGCCTATTGCCCTATAGCCCTACAGCCTTATCGCCCTATAGCCATATAGCCCCATAGCCTTAAAGCCCTATAGCCCTGTAGCCGTATCGCCCTATAACCCTATAACCTCATAGCCTTATAACCGTATATCCCTATAACCCTATAGCTCTATATGCCTATAGCCTTACAACCCTATAACCCTATAGACCTATAGCCCTATGGTCCTATAGCCCTACAGCCCCATAGCCCTGCAATGTTTATGATGTTTTATTCTCCGGTATCATGAAGCAGAAAAGGTAGCAAGGGATGCAGTACGAGCGTGAATGGGAATCTCTTACACCGAAAACTCCCAACTGGCTCACCGCGAGCCACCCTGCATCCCCCCGAGCCCGCTGCACACTGACTGCGGCCTGTCAGCTTGCTGACTGTCCGCGGCGCCGTCTGTCAGCTCGAGGAGAAGGGTCGAGGGTCGCGGAGTACGTGCAGCGCGCGGCGCGCGCGGCAGCGTGCCCCTCAGGGCTCAGCGCTCAAAGATTCAAACTTGTCGGCCCCGCGCGTGGCGGGGCGGCCCCTGCTCTGGAAACCATCTGGCTGCCAGCGAAGTGCCCTCTTGGCCCAACGCTCGCTGCTCATCGACTCGACGTGCAGGCCCCGCTGTCTTTGCCGGGCTTTTTGCTCAACGTCCCAAGGCGGCACGCCGTGCTCCTGCATCGCGCGCTTCGCCTCAAGTGTCACCCGTTGCAACCGCTCTACCCACTTTTCGACTTCGCCGTCTGGCTCCTTCTTGATCCGGCTCCGCCCCATGATCAAGCGAACCATCTTCATCAGAGTTGATATCAGCAGCGCCGTCCTGGAGTCTGTCAATACCCAAGACGCACAACCGTACAGTATAGTCGGAGTCAACACAGCATTGAAGAGTTTTAATCGCAAAGAGAAGGGCACGGCATTGTCAGCGAACTCGCCTCGAAAGACCCCAAATTTAGACCATGCTTTATGGATCCCGTGGGTTAGCTCCGTATCGTGCGCGTCTGTCAACGATAAGGCTCTGCCGAGGTACGTGGTGTGGTCACTGGGGTCCAACACTTAGATCTCCATCCCTGCCACTGTCGCTTTCCTCACGCGGCTCCCGTGCCCGATGTTATTGTGCTGGATTTTTGTCATCGCCGGGTGTAGCTCCAGCCCAACCAGCCCGCCTTCCCTGGCGACGTCTGCCAATATCTGCTTAACTTGAGGTAAGGAACGGCCGACGATGATAATATCATCAGCAAAGCGCAAATTGGTGACAAAACGATCGGGAATATACCCAAGCTGAACGCCATATTTCCGCGAAACCCACTGCGCCTTGGCCTTTCGCATCACTTCTTCCAGAACAGAATTAAACAGGATTGGGCTGATGGGGTCTCCCTGTTTCGTCCCCTTGCGGATGTCGAACTCGCGGCTTGTGGCGGCAATTCTAACGTGACCACGTTGTCCCTGGTACAATCTGGAGAGGACGTCCACGTATATAGGCGGAGCGCTGTGCGTAAGTAATGAATGCCTGATACTGCAGTGGTCGATAGAGTCAAATGCTTTCTTGAAATTCAGCGTGGCATCCCAAAGTGGAAGATTGCACTCGTTGCACTTCTCTGCAATAAGGGTAAGCGCGAAGAGGTGGTCGTCGCAGGAAAAGCCAGGCCGGAAACCCGCTTGGTCGCAGGACTGTTCCGCAGGGAGTATTCCAGAAATGCGCCCGCACAGGACGCGACTGAACAGTTTGTATAATGTTGGTATGATGCATATAGGCCGATAGTTCTCTGCAAGTCTCGAGTCGCCCTTTTTGAAAAGAACCGATTTCCAATATTCGGGGATAATCGCCCCTTGCTTCATAATGGCAGTGAAAATGTCAGCAATCATTGAAAAGAGAACGGTGCTCCCATGGCGAAGCATCTCCGCAACGATGCCTCCATCATCTGGCGCCTTGCCAAGCCGCGTGCGTTTCAACTGAGACCCGGCCTCGTCGGGCGTAACGTTTGGTACTGGAGTAGCACCATCGCGACGCGAATAAGTACCGCCAAGGCCGCTATACAGAGGTTCGTAAAAACTTGCAAACGCATCTGCAATATCATGTATGTCCGTCTTCTCGACCCCGTCCTTGTCGATCGCGGAGATCATGCAATCCTTTTTGCCGTTGTTCCGGATGTCTACAAACCGCTGCAAGTCTTTGAACTCTGCCAAGACCCTGGTCGTCCGAGCACTCTTCCGTGCACTCGCGACTGCTCGTATTTCTTTTTTTAATCAGTTTACTGGTACTCCGGACTGTATCCTTCGTCCAAGCCCTGCGAGCTGCTCTTCTCTGGTCTATGAGAGCGTCGAGGTGTTGCTGCGAGGCCTCTGCGTTGGAAGCGATGTCCTCTTCCGTTTGCTGGCGCTGTTCCGCGACGTGACGCAGCGCTTCTTCGATCGCCCTGCATCTGCCCTCCAAATGTGGATCCCTGTCTGGGCCCTCGCTGCTCCCACGCATGCGAAAGTGCTCGTCGAGGGCCCCCCGGTACTGTGCATGGTCATTCGGCTTCCAGCCGCGGAAACCATTACATTTTTGTCTTCTCCTCGCTTTCCTTCTGGCCCGAGGGAGGGCTAGAGTCAGACGGGTCGTGCGGTGGTCCGCGCCGACGCCGATATCTTCGCAGGCTTCGGAGTCGGTGATCCAACGAACATTGCTCACTCCAATTGCAAACTAATCGAGTTGTCGCCTGTTTGCACCATTCTAATGGGTCCACTGATTCTCAAAACTCTTCTCTATGATAGTATTTGCAAACACCAAACTCTGTCCGGCCGCCCAGTGTACCAGCATCTGTCCACGAGCATTCCGGTGACCGATGCCGTACGGACCAACCACGTCAGCGTCGTCGCTGGGTTGTCTGGCCCCGACGGTCGCATTCCAGTCACCACCAAGGATGCACGTTCGGCGCAAAACACGAGCACCACAAAGCAAACCCGCGATGTGGTCGTAAACTTCGTCGACGTCTGCGTCGTCATCGCCACCGTGTGGCATGTAGATCGCTATGAACCGGAGCTGGTGGCTCCCGATATTCACGTCCAGTGCGCACAATCGTTCGCTGACCGCGTGAAAAGCTTGGAACCCAGCAGTCCAACGATGGTGAGCATTATTGCAGTGCCTCGCCAGCCCCTTGTCCCACCAGACCCGCAAAACATGCATCCGTCCTCCGACAACCATCTCTCCCGCTTGCTCTCGCGCCAGGTCTCACTCAAAAGTAAAACGCCCCATGTAATGCGCCGAACTTCTGCCAGAAACTCGTTTTCACGAGAATCTGTCTGAAGGGGCAGAAGATTTTTCCCCAATATGCACATCTCAACGTTTTCGCTCACAGGCTTCACAGGTACTCTCACCACGTCCTCGTCGAAGTCTGTGCAGAATTCTCCAGGAAACCTCTCATCGAAACTCCGCGTCTTTATGGCGCGCAGTGCTGCGAATGGATAATCGCCGTCGGCCCGCTGAAGAGCACCGCGCCCTCCGCCTGGTCGCACGTATCCCTCTCCTCCTCTGCCTCTGCCTCTGCCCCTGCCTCCTCCTCCTCCTCCTCCTC